GTACGTGCATACGTACGTGCGTGCTTGTGCCTTCGCCCGATTTCGAATTACGATCAATCTGGCCAGTTCACAGCCTTCTTGCCGAATCAAAAATGTTGATAAATACTGCTGATTTTGATTATAACGATAATGACGATAACGATAACGATGTCTAGGATAACAGGTACACGATGACGATGATGTCAACGATAATGAAGACGACTGTAATTATTGTGATGATAATACATACAACAACGACAGTGATGAATATGATGACGACGACGACGACAACTTCATACTTAAGATTTCTAGTCGCACGTTAGCAAGTATAGATACAATTAATTTTTTTGCTGTCTATCGTAAGTTAATTTTGCTATTTGCAATCCACTGAGATTTGGCAACCTTCGGACGTAACTATAACATCTTCAAGAGTTTTCGGTCAGAAAACTCCAGTTTACCCTAGGTGGTTCTCGTTCGTCTTTGTAGCAAATCGGAAATTTCGAACATTTGACTTAGAACAGAGGAGGGGTTTGACAGATCTGCAAAAAATTATGTACATCACAGCTTGATATGGAGAGATCATTAAGACAAATTGCAGAATAGCATAGTTGTTTTGAAATACATATCAAGCATTTTTATTTAGTAGCTCACATTTTCTATCAATAAATTTCCAATGAATTTCCAATTTTGAGACCACTGATGCTTAAGAGCAAATTATTCAACGTTTTTACGTTCAGCCACACTTGTGAGGATAAACGCAAAGAGCTGAGTGGTAGACTCTCCCTCCAGCACAAAAGTATTTTAAAGTGAAATTGCCAGACTTTAAAACTATATCCAAAGATCTCAAACTTACAATTGAAAAATTTTAAAATTTACAGGTATTTACCACAGATTTTTCAATTTATTAGCCATCAATCTTGATCTAAAGCCAATTGTGTACGTATGTGTGTGCATGACAAAGTCTCATGATCAAATCATGCAAATTTTGTCTTTGTCCGTGGTAGTGTCGGTGTGATGTTTTCCTGACCATGACATATTTGGCATTACGTGATGGCTCGTTTCGTTGTGTGTGAAATAAGGTGCGTTGTGCATTGAATGAAGTCCGTGGACACGTCTTTTATGTCACTAATTGCATGCTAAATTCTTTCAATTTTATCAACTCTCTGAGTCTAAATTTGATCTGGACGCGCTCGACGCCTTAACTTAAGACAATCTACAATGTCATTGTTGATGTCTGCTAATCCTATCCGAGTCAGTGCGACCATGACTCTTCTAATCGTGGCCGACGCCCCGTTCTCCTCACACAATTTTTGTAGAGCTTTATAACAGCATTCTCTACATCTATCTTGCGCTTGCTCAGAAATCGCATCAATTTTTCCGTCTGTAAGCCCCAGCTCTCTGGCCAGCCTCTTCCAATGATGCTCAACTTTTTCTGATACAATTTTCTTCACTTCCCAATTCGTTTGCAATGATTTGCAAACAGCATCTTTACCTAAAAGGACGAAAAACAAAACACGCTGAATAATACAAAATGAGCGAGCATGATGCCCTCAGTAGCAGAAACATGCTGATCAGCTTCTTGTATCAAAAACCCCCTCTCCGACAGCAAATCAACCAAGCTTGGCCCCAGCCCCTCTGCTAGGATAAAGCTGGACCTTACTATGGGCTATCAAGAGAAACTCGCC